TCACCGACAGCCTTAGTCTTGAAAGCAGAAACTGAAGTTGCATAAGCCCAACAATCCAGTTAGACTATCTCATAGTCAGTCAGGTAAGTGCTCTCACCTCCTTGATGGTCAGTTGTTTGGGTGGTTCGAATGGTCCGAACACTTCGATTTGCGAGAAGCGTTTGTGGATGAGTTGTGGCATCTGGGGTTGGAGTCGTTTCTGTGTTGCCAGAGGGCAACATGCAGTAGCAGTGTGCAGTGATGTCGTGCACACACGATTCGTTCTAGAGGCAACACTCCGCAGTGCCAATCGACCACACTCTGATACGGCTTTCAACGTTGCCACACGTGCACACATTGCCTGATTCATCATGCTCGACCCGTCGGCAAAATTCGGCCCAGTTGTCCACTTCTACAAAAACTAGTCATTATTCATTAGATCACTAGTTACCAATCCACCCAAAACTTTACTTCCACTTCAATCACAATATCACGTAATCCGCCAATCGATAAGCTATCTTCAACCAGTTATCACTCAGACACTTCAATCGAAAACCAACCCAAAACAATGTCACATCTCTCAGTAAACGGCAAAACGAAATATAACGACTTAAACAAAACCATCCCTACCTCCTAATGCAACGCACTCTAAGGTTAACTGCTCACCACCTGAACGACCAGACTGAACAACGTCTTAAACCATCAGACGAGAGTATACTCAAGTTCAACAACCCACCCACTTTCACGTATTCAGGTATTTGTGTAAACATATCAAGTTGTTTCTGTTACGTGTCAAAATAACACCAAACATAAACAGTATTAATTAGTTCTTTATTTGTATCAATCAACAAATAACAATAATAAACTCAATCAACTCAACAACAAAACCAACCACCAAATTCACACAATATGCAATAAACATTCACAAATTCACTCAATACTCATTTACTTATGATGTTTACGCATAGTTGTCAGTATCGCTTGCACCTCATCACGCTTTCTCTTGGCACGAATGTGTGATCCAATACGTCTCTTCAAGAACTTCAGTGCTTTTTTATCTTTGCTGAAATTTTAAAGAATCAACCGTGGATGGAGATGAACCGATCGATCACTTAGTTGATCGCCTTAGTCTAAAACTCTTCAAATAT